CAGGAATGCTTTGACAACACGGGCTGGAAAACCCCTCTCCTACAAGATACTACGGCATGTTTTGGAGACATTTCTCCAAGCACTTGAGCAACTTGACTGGACAAGATTCTTCCTGCTCTGCAAGGAGGTGAACTGAAGCCAAGTAGGGGGTCTCAGAGACTTCAGGTGAGGTTCAAGACTGCTCCTGGGATATCTCCAAGACAGCTGAGTGCTCGCTGAACCCAGGGACTTGCTAAAATGCATAAAGATCAGGTAGTACGGCAGCACCTTGCAAAGTGCCACCAGGCTCAGAGCAGCCATGAACCAGAGCCAAGGTTCCAACACAATCTTTCTTCTTTGAGGCTATAACCGTTGGACCAAGCTGACTTTGAGGTATCCCACTCACCTGCCCAAAATCATTATGCTGGAGCAAGGACAGATCCTTAGATCCCATCAACAGACCCATCTGGCCATGTGATGTGAAGGAGGAACCCTGAATCTCTGATCACGCCCCTTAGAGAAGACCTAGCACTGTAGCAACTCAGAACTTATTTGCAAAATTTAACACCACCAATTATATAAACCTACTCACAGCAGGGAGCTTTCATCCAAACCACTGCTGTGGTGGCTGCCAGAAATATCAACAACCAAGCTGTAATGGAGGGGAAACTCACCCAGGAGCTCAAAACCAAATAAATGTGTCTTTCATTGTGCCACAAAAGCTTTCCAAACCCCGGGCACTGGTGGCTTGCCAAGGAGAGCCCATTCCAAAGGTGGGGTTTCTTCCCCTGGAAGCTCAGCAGCTCCTCCCCGCAGGGCCAGCAGGAGCACAGCTTCCCACTCACTTGGGCTGGCTGACCAGGCAAATTTTTCACAGAACTGAGGTCCAGGTTTTACACAAGGAATAAGAGAGATGGACTGGGACGAAGCAGAGACTTACCCCTCAGGTACACAAGACAGCAAGGGATGCCAGGGTATGTGGTGAACTTCACAGAATCACAGAATTGTAGGGGTTGGAAGCGACCCCTGTGGATCATCTAGTCCAGCTCTCCTGCCAAAGCAGGGTCACCTAGAGCAGGTTGCACAGGTTCAGAGGACCTCTTTGCCTGTGGACACCCAGCACTAGCATTTGCACCCCAGGAGCTCTTGCTGGAAGGCAGCTTTAGTGGTTTTGCAGGAAGGTCAAGAGATATGGCCTTCAAACCTGATGGGTGACCTTCAAATCTTCTAGATTCTAGGGAATTTCCCAGCCTTACCAGCTCATGGTTTTGAGCTGCCTGCTCATGCTCCAGCTTCACACAGAGATCTTCCTCATAGAAATAGTACCAGCATGACACCCCAAAGCTACATCCCCACTACATTTCCCTTCCAAGGAGACAATCCACAGGGAGGTGACACATGGACCTTGCCCTTAGTTCTCCTCCCTAATGAGAGGCTGCTGCATGGGTGGGCTGGTTCCTTCTTCCTCAGCCCAAACACCACCAATGCCCATTCCCCCAAGAAATGACAGAGCCTCTTTTTTTTCTTTCAGTGAGGTACTTGTAAGCTACGGTGGAGGAGGAGGGAGGGAAATACCATGACATCATACCACTCCATGTTCTCTGTGGCTTTTGTTGGGGATTTAGAGACAACTGCTGTCACACTTCCTCCCTGCTTCAGTGGGGGGAGAATTGGAAGCCTCTTTGGGACATCGGATTAGATCATCTTGGGGATTTCTTACAGTAAACTCTCACAGTAGCTCACAGGGAACCCATCAACTTCGGACCCTCACTGTGCGAACCACCACACAAACACTAAAAAGCCATCTCCATCCCAGATACATTTCACCTAAATCAACACTGTCTCAATGGAGAGCCAAGAAGGGGAAAATATAACAACATGATTGTTTTTTCTTGACAAAAATAATTTCCTTTCCATAAGGGAGATGTACGCCTGAAACAGCAATATTTTACCCTGAATGCCAGCATAGCTGGTGTCAGGATCCCACCCTGCCGTTGTGCACTGGCAACATAATTCCTTTCAAATTGAATTTCCCAGGGGACACAACAGTCTCCATGGCCATAAGAGAGGACCTTGGTGTTCTGCAGGAGACACGGCAGAAGCAGAGAGCTGCACTGGAGAGGGAACAGGTCAGAGATACCAAGTTTCCAAACAGCAGTTCCCAGGAGGTATCGCAATGACTTCTTTCCAGACTGAAATATTTCCATTTCAGTCAAAACATGTCGGGTGTTATTTTTGCCAAAAAATCAACTATTTGAGGAGGGAGAGGAAGGAAAGTATTTTCTAACTAAGTATCTAAAATATTCTTTCTTTCACTTTGCCATTTTTCTATACACAAAGGCAGTTATCTCTGTATTTCTGCGTTTTTCTTCCTTACAGGAGCTGAGCTGTAGTAAAGAGATATCTTTGGTACCTTGTGAAGCAACGGCCATCTTGAAACATTTATACTGTTTCCTGAGCCCACTCAATATGCAGTGTGCACAGATACCATTTTAATTTGTCCTTTGGTCTTTAAAAATGTATCAGAGTCTTTTTTTTTAGCACCCAAAAGTCACTATTCTCACCCTAGGTGGCTGCAATCCTGGGCCGCAGTTTAATGACATGAAAGGCTTTGTTCACCACTGTCGCGTCCAGAAATTTTGCTGTCCAAAAAAATGCTAGCAAAGTAGGAAGGGGAAAAAAGCATTAATGCTTGACTCACACAGGCAATATAGGAAATTGTCCATACAGCAAGGAAGAGACTTGTTTCTGGGCCAGAATGCGAGTTAGCTTTACATGGGAGTGTTAATGGGCTACATTTTTTTTGCATTAAAAATTGTAAAATTAGAAGAAATGAAAAAAGTTGGTTGTGGAAAGAATTTACAAGGAAGGAAGCTGTCACTGGTCTATTTAAAGTCTGTTGGAGGCTAATGATGAATATTCAGTTACTGTAGTTGGTGTATTACAATAGCAGAGAAGGACAGGGAGGAAGAGGAGAGCAGCATTGCACAAGGCGCTGTACAGTCTCTGCACCACCAGGCTTCCAGCTAAAGGGCCAGCAGGAGGTAATGTTACTTTGATTTTCATTAAAGCTTGGGGGAAGGAATCAGGGATGAGGTCCAAGTCTATAGTGAAGGCACTCGGTCCCAAAGTCTGGACTCCATTCTTAAGCCCCACCTGGCTAGATTCTTTTCCCAGACGCATAGGATCGAGCACCGGTTCTGCATAATCACTTCCTAACAGCACACGCATTCCTCTTTAGAGTTCATCCTATAACCCCAACCCCACAGATCAGGCTCTACAAGTGAATCCTTCCTGCATTTCCCGAGCACTTCCACCCTAATCAGACCTCTGTCAGGTGGAATTAGAAAACTCGGTCTCATTTTCTCTCTTGACATCTTCCCCCTTCCCTGGCCAAGTGACGTCCTCACCATGACAGACTCACAAGCTCCATAAGATCACTTACGCCACAAATTCACATCTAGCAAAGAATTAAAAGGAGCAAACTCAAGAAGGTTTTGTAATCTCAGAGCTGGAAACCTTGTTGGCCTCTGCAAGCTAATAAAAACTGTGGAAAAATTATAAATATAGACCTTCACAGAGTGACAACAAGTCCACTTTCTTGCTTATCACTACTCTGTAAGAGAGTAATAATTTTCCATGTTTTTTCATATGCAGACTTGAAGTTTCCTAATGTAACAGCCAATGCATAGTAAATGCAGCTGCCAGACAACAACCTTGTTAAAAAACTCTTTGAAGATCCATACTTTATAACGAGGAAACTTCTGTGCGGAAGCATTCAACCCCTACTGGTCCTAAGCAAATTATTTTAGAAGATGCTTCTGATATTTCTGCAACAAAGCATTAGATACCAAGGGTCTCCAGAGCTGCTGTAGCTCATGGTAACAAGGCTTCAAAAGACTTACTAAATGTCAGCTCCCAAGGATCATACTGGTATCTGTTCAAGGTCAAGATGAGGCATGATACAGAAGAAGATTTCCACGTGGTTAGCTGCTGCCATGTTCTTACAGCATCCTTTGAAACCCCTGAGCAGGGCACTCTCTAGATCTTGTTCACAATGGCAATTTGTAGTCTAAAATCTGACCAAAGGTATATCAGTGGCCAAACCCACTGATTCCCCTCCACTTTTTTCAGTCACTACAAAAGGACAAATGTTTGCCAACCTATCGGTTCTGTCCTCTCCACCCACCCAACAACCCTGGATACAGTGGTGCAGAATCAGACCCCGGATCCAGATGCACAAATAGAAGTCAGAGGCATTTGGGTTTATATTTCCCAGGCCACCAATTGTTGTCCTTCCTGCTGAGCCAGCCATAACAGATATAGAAAGAGGAAAAGAAAAAAAAGTGGCT